ATTACGTAAAGGAAAAATTCACAGTACTAAACAAAAATCAATTAAAAGGAAACATACAGATTTTATACTGTACAGAACTTAAAATACTGTACGAACAGCAATTTAAATTACTGAACAGAAATATTCACAAGTGCGGATCGAAAAATAGCGTGACGTTATTTGAATAGTTAGCCAGCTGGGGACGTTCTAGCACTTGGGTCCTCATTTTTACAAGTACAGTACTTCGCAAAACTTCCATCTAAATCTATACATAGTGTTTAGAGCAATGCAACAAAAAGTACTACAGTACTGTACAAAACATTTACAAGGAAAACAAAGGACTGTCTTAGAACACAACTTGAGCCCTCTTCCAGCATACAATGGACGAGTGTGTTTAGTACACCGCGCACGTACACTATCCAAGTTTGGATGTACTGAGCCAACATGCAGCGCGCGCTCTAGCAGGAGTCGGAACTTGAATATTATGTAAATTACTACCAAATCTGGCAACGTACCGTACTAAGTCGCGCCTTAACAGAATGCAACGCATCTATTACAGTCTGTACCATAGGTATTTAGGATCAGTTATGGTTCGAAGTTGAAATTTAATTAATCGTAACTACTTTTGGTTAGGAGGCGCTGGAAGGTGGTGCGCGCCAAAACGTGTAATGAAGATAAGTTCAATGTATCAATTTGATCTGGAGACGCCACCTTGGTGCGTATTTTTTAACCCATATATGAGTGAAGAAATAGTGTAGAATGTTGTGAGATGATCTGTGTAGCTTTGTTACTAAGATCAGCTGGTTCAAAAATGTCAAATAAAAGTGTTAAGTAATTTTAGTTTAAAAAAATTAAAATGGCCGCCATTTTGAAATTTTAAGTTCAATCAAGATGAATTTTTGTTCGAACATGGGCCTCTACTACCTTAACATACATACCAAAGCTTCATAAAGATCAGTTGAATAAATCTAAAGATAAAAATGTTTATGTAAAAAATACAAAATGGCAGATATCTGGTTAACAAAGCGGCTTTGGAAAAAATATTTTTATAAATTTACTCATTATTTTGAACCAAGGAATCACTACGTAATTTATGTTCCCACCTTTTTGAATACCTTTTATATTATACAATAAGCGATTCGCGATAGCTTATACAGTATTTCACAAACTATTCGTAAGTAATAAAGTATACGTAGAAGCTACGAGCGTTTATTATACGTCTCACGTCGTCTATTGCTTCTGCTATATGAGAAGAGCGCTCTGAGGAATCCATATCTAATAACTTACGCGGAGCAAATTTATTAGTCTCACTGGATATACTGGGTAAGTAGCGAAGCTATAAACTCATTGACTTAGTTTCTCGTGTTATAATGGGCTATTTAATTATTATTGTATTAAACTATTAAATGATAAACCATCCTTCGTAGCCATACTCATTTTAGAACGCTTTAATGGCAAATATTTTAGTTGTAAGTTTTGATATTTTACTGAAATTCCTCTAAAAATACAATAATGCGAATGATAAAAAATAAACTAATTTCTTTAGGTAAAGCTTGAATGTCCTAAAACGGTCGGTAGTTCAACACTTTCTAAACAGCTTTTTTGGGATGTTTAGGACATTTTGTTTGACTTTGGATAAAAGAGTAAAATATTTTATCTTGAAATAAGTTTATTTAATTTAATTAAGTAGATGAGTTAAGCATCTTTAGCTCACGCTCGAGCACTGATGCTTTTATAGGTCACTTGCATAACTACAGGATAATTATAATATTCCACTTTTGTATGAATTAATATCCTAGTCTCTATCAGCGATAAGTGACATTTGAAATAATGATACTTTTGCAGTTCGCGGTGGCCAACGGTCAAATTGAAAAAAATAACTACAGAATTGGACTTGCGAGAGTTAAAAATTTTAGTTTTGAAATGTAAAAGGATTGCAGAACATTAGATTATCTATTCTATATTGCTCATTGACGAATGATCATTACTGGTAACAGAAAAATCATGCCAATTTCAGTTCTATTGTTTATGCTGCGTTACAATGTCCGTAGAAATTGTAAGCAAAACCCGCAAATATGTATGAAATAAACATCTCACACTATTGAAAAATAAATCAGTGATCCAAATATTCTGTAATCAGGTGATGAATCAACTGGCACCCGAGAGGAGATGAGAAGACCGACAGACGTAAACAAACAATAATTCGATTGAAGTTGAATTTGCGAAGATAAGTGACAAACTACAATGGGCGGGCATTAATTGCGCCCACTGACCTGAGTCAGGTAGTCGGGTATTCCTGAATTGCACCAACTACTTCAGGGAACTACCCGATACGTTCATTAACTGCACCAAGTGGCGACCCTCTTTGACTTTATAATTGAGTAGGTAAGGTTAGGTTGTGTTAGGTTAAGTTAGGTTAGATTATATTATGTTAGGATAGGTTAGATTAGATTATGCTAGGATAGGTTAGGCTAACACGTAAACAAGGACATTCCCTCTGTCGGCAGCTTACTTCTACCTGGCTTGGACTTGGGTCATTGAATATATACCCTATAGGGTATATATTCAATGCTTGGGTGCAATTAATGAACGACCACTACAGTCCTACTGAATTGTTGAATCCCCTACAGACCAAACTTTGCCAATCTACATTGACCATGGACTCCCTCAATACTAGCTCCATGTTCATCTTATGATGTCTAAACTACCGTATTATGATGTCGTAATTATAAATTCGTATTTATAATTATAATTACGTGAGTTAATGTTTTATTTCCGTCAATAAAAATCACAAAAACATAGCTTAAATCTATCAAGGGTCCCAAAAATGCGTTGAGGTATCCTTGAATCTTCGCCGCTACTGAGGCTGCAAATTTTGACCTATGAAAGTCAATATTCGCCTACCCCAGGAGCAGGAGTGGTTGACTGTTTGTACAGATGGTGAATGTCCTGGGGATGACGGACGTGTGAACGTGACCCTCACTACATCCTTCCTGTGTCCTGATCCTGACATCCTGCGGTTATGCAACAGGTGCAACGCTCCCCGTCTCCAGCCTCCTCGATGACCCCAACTTTGGACTTTGGTTGTGGTAGTACTTTTACTTTTACATGGCGGCCATACGAAGGTAGGTATTTTAAGCCAAGTATGAATGAAGAGGATTGTAGGGTAAGTTGTGGGATCTTGTAGTCTTGTTTAAGGCCGACATGTTCCTTAATACAGGACTGTTAAACCATCCGCCATCACACAACCTACAATGTTCCCAGTTCCAAGAATTAACCCTAACAAATCACCTTGTCAACTGAGTTATGGTAAATCATATAATATTGTGCGTGGTATATACGAATGTACACAGTCAGACAATATTTGGACATCGAGGACCGACAACCAAGTGCATTTTGGTACGGTACTAACCTAACCTAAGGGTAACCAATTTAGGTGTGGTATAATACCAAAGTACCTGCATTTTGTACATCGTGAGCCTCTGGAAAATCAATCAAATCTGAAGTTTTTACATAAATACAAATAACCGATTTCAATTACGTACATGTTTGTTGATTTCCATGGTACCAGATAAATCGTGCGGAAATATTCCAGCTCTTTTGCGTAGAGGTAAGCCCATGATAAAATTGTGTTGGATCACAGTCTATAATAGACCATTATATATGTCTATTGTCTGTAGATGGATTAAAACAGTTTCACAGCGCGTTAACAAAAGGCTACAATCTTCCTCATCTCTGGTGTAAAGAGACTGGAGGTAGAGGTGATGGAGACAATAAAGACACTCTGGAGCCTATCCCATATACGACTCTCCATATTAATAGCTCAGATAAATCCCGCGCGGAAGTCACGGCTGAATCCCTTCCTTTGACGACCGGAAACTGGTGGTCACGTGCCGCTAGTTCCGTCCTCAGCCACCCCCACACCACTACAGTGCTCTGTAGCCCCCTTGGCCCCCCTTGCTGCTGCAGCATCCCACTGTCACGGGCGAAGAGAGTTTTTCTGAGTAAAATACTGGGATGCAGAGCAACCTTTGTTGGAAACTACGTTCTACCAGGTAGAACCATTAGAAGGTATGAACGTGTCTAGGTGGAGACCTAGACAACCATCCTAGAATGAGAATGTATGTATGCATAACACCGAATCATATGCGATTTTTAAATAATCGATCGATAGGTATTTTAAAGAACCTACAATATCAAAAATCGTTGAAAAGTCCTATAACACCGAAAGAGTTGCTATGCTATGGAATTCGGTAATGCGGGATTTATTTTGTATTCAGTGCTGTCTGATTTGGAACGACAGTATATAAGACCTCCTTCAGTATTTGGCGCTACCAAGGTATTTTGAATATGACCTTGTTCTGAAATCAAGTCACTTCAAACCAATCGGATATATAGGTGCGAAATTCATGTTGACTCTTATTTTGGGAGTCTGGCTATAAGGAGTTTCTGAATGTTCAAGTGCTGAATTCATGAAGGCTCGAAGAGTGAAGTAGGCAAAATGAATACTTCTCTGAGGCCAATAAAGCTTAGTTTTGTTTTTAGGGTGTTATTCTCTACTCGTCATAGTCATTCTTCGTTTTACTTTTCACTTTTCATCCTAATTTATCCTACAATACATCACTTATAGATCAATGGGGAGCGGCAAATAAATTAAAAAGAGTTTAGTTGTACGAGAACCTCTGTATCTGACGTATATGATCCAACGGAAAAAACTTCCGATCCAATTGTAAAAGCAAAGAATATTTTTTTTATATTCCCTCCAATAGTTGATTTCTACTCTAGAGTTGCCATTTCCATAGTGCTTTAAATCAGCGTTTAACATTGAGAACGTGTGTAGGAGTTCGGCTACGTATTAGGCCTAGTAACATAAAAAAAACGCTAACATAATAGGCCTAACTCAATTCTCTACTGCTAATAACGAAACAGTTTAATATTGAAGACATAAATCATGTTATATTTTAAAATAAACAATTTTTATGTAACAACTGGACACAACCTTTCGAATCAAACCTCACTAGCTAGAGCAGCAACGGTCTGGTGGTGTTGTCGAGGACCTTGTCAACAGCCTTGTCCATCTGATGGCCCAGAAGAATCAGCGAAACCACTGCGAGACCCAGAGGAACGTGCCTACTAACAGGAGTTTGTATCTTCAATCCGCCTACCAGCATGGGTGAGACATGGTTGGTACCGCGGACCAACAGAGAAGGTACCACAGACGACGCCAGCAATTGCCAAATAGCTGCATCAAGCCCCTTGGACACCAGGTTGGAACTCCTCCCATCGCTTGCCTTGTGGATGACGTCGAAGGCCATGTATCCCATGGTGGCCCGGGTCATCCAGAACCTCGCCACGGGGGTGAGGATGTCGCCTGGAACGGAGGCGACGATGTGGGCGTACCCTAGGTATCTACCGGGACGGTTCCTGAAGAAATCTCCCATGATCAACTTTCAGAGTTTGAAGTGGTTTTAACACACAGGATAAAGCGTTCAAGAGATAAATGAATGGTGAATTTCTACGAAAGTTTGTTTGTTGTATACAGCTGAAATTTACCTTGAGTTTCAGCACAGCTGTAAATATCTTATAATCTTGTACAGTATAGGGGAAAATATTTTTCGTTTTTTTTTTTACTGAATATATAGTATTCGTTTTGTTATAAAGGATCCTTCCGCCATGGGTCAAGATACCCTACCCATTAAACATAAATACATTTTTATACGGTATGTATAGTGTAAACATTTCAATAAACCTATATACAACTCATTATGTTTCGGTATAAGCATTCATTTAAAACGATTCCTTATAAGATGTTCCAACCGGACCAGCTAAGGTCTGAGATCTGAGGATTTCGGGCCGAAATGTTACTGGGCGAAGTGTTACGATACAACAAAATGAAGGCCTTAAGAGGAAGGTTTCTTGGGTACAACCACAACTTTTTAGCTTAATCTATATAATCTAATCAGCTGTTGGCTGTTGTTTCAAAATCAGGGTGAGGCGGAGTGGATTAAATTTCTTCCCCTCAAACCATCTAAATTTTGTGAACGGAGTATAATACTGTAGCATTATTATCTGAGAACTGGAATAGGCTACTGGACGCAATAAAAATACCACCTCATCCACAAGTCGTTCACCCTGTGTTTGTGTGTGTTGGGCAGATGTTGGGTGAAAGTTTATTGTCCAACATGCAGTAATGTTTAAAAGCGGCGACGTACGGCACGGGCGGATGTTTATAGGGCGCCGTAGCACGTGCTGCCACGGATATAGCAGAGCACAAAAGGTGAGTGTACAGTAAGGGCAGCTGCTATCACCCCAAGATACAGTAGATGCATTAAAAGAGTACTGTATATTACGAAGGAAATAATTGTATACTAGTCTTCAATTGGATATATAGAAAAAAGCTTATGTTATTCAAAATTTTACAGGCTCAATTTCACACTAAAGATGGACTCTAGGCGGCTACGAAACACCAAGTCGGGACACTAATGTGTTATATAACTGCAAACCATTATTGACTGGCGGGATTTGAACCCGGGCCGCCAGGCTAGTATAATATATTCCAACCACAATACCAACCGCAGCCCATAATACACAGTTGCGCATTAACATACAGAACTAATAAAATATACTCTCCCAAAACAAATGCAGCACTAAAATCACGGGAAGTTTAAAGGATACGGTAAAATGAGGCACGAAAACATTTAATAACAGAGGTTAAAACATGAATTTCCTCCTAAGCCAATTTTGAGGTATCTTTACGTAAGTATGGCTTGAGGTTGGTGTTTTGTTATTTTTTAAACTTTATTAGCTAAAATTAGCTTGAGATTTAAATATTAAAGCTTTAAAATACAGTAAGGAATAAACAAGTAGACACCGACTCCTAATTTGTTAACCGAAAATGAACCACATGCCCTGACATGCTTTAACTTTTTTAATATGACGAAAATACTTCTTGCTGTATCCAATGTTAATAGTACTTGCTTATGGATAAATAATTATAAACAATTAGTGCAAAGATAATTTTTTTAATAATTCTATTATTAACATTAACATACTAGTAGTGTTGAAGTTAATAATTAAACATGTAATTGGACTGTGGGGACAGTGTGGCAATTACAGTGAGGCAGTATTTGGTCAGAATGTACAAGCGAACCTATCTCTCATGAGTAATTGATTGCATAAATTATTCCATTGTTGTCGATTCATTTAGTATTATGTCGTTGGCGAAAATCTGACTATCTTTTAATAACATTTGGTAACAACAGATCCTTATGTAATTATGGATATTAAAAAAAATGTATGAGTTTAACTGAGAAAAACATTATTATACCAATACTAGCTGTGTACCCGTTCTACGCACGGGGATCTTATAATATTCAGTTGAAACCTTCTTATATAACGAACAGCAGTTGGTTTGCATATTTTAAGATATGCTGGCCAAACTATTATACATAGCTTCATTTTATGTTGTTTTTTGTTGTTCCGGATCGGTATGACAATCAATAAAAGGTTAAATTACCTCTGTGTCTGCCGGTCGATCCTATAACGGTAGGCTTACTTTTATTTTTACTATCTGATCTCGTTTGCATGGCTCAATCACGTCCTGGTTGAAGTTCGTTCGCTACGCTCACTCACCTGTATGTTGGAGCTCGTTCGCTGCGCTCACTTTCCTTCAGGTTAGCTCGTTCGCTACGCTCACTTGCCTTCAGGTTAGCTCGTTCGCTACGCTCACTCGCCTCCAGGTTGCAAATTAGCTGTTGTCATAAATGTAAAAGAAATAATAGTGCTAGTGCTGCACCCTGTTGGTAATCCTTGTAACTTTAATGCTATTGAACATCACAGAACAGAACCAACTTGTTTAATTGAAACAGCTGTTAAGATTCAATAATTTCATTTCTCATAAGGTTAACATGGGCTTCCAGAAATTCCACGTCAAAAATCGACAAAAACTTGATTTTCAAGGGTTTACTGTTAAATATCTAACTGTCTCATATTCGATGAAATACGTCTAAAACCATCTCATATATGTATAGTATTTGGAAAATAAGTTTCAGGCGGGACAGTGCTATAGTTATTGAGGAGTAGTTGTAATAAAGTGCGTATTTTAGCGTTACCAAGAGAATGACAGATAGACAGACAGACAGACAGACAGACAGACAGACAGAAATTGAGATAAGGTTTGATTCGGTTTCTCTGACCTATGAAATGTAAAAATAACCAAAAAGTTCATTATTCTAAGCAATGTACAGACAAAACTCTAATTTTATTTATATAGATTTTTAAGTATATTGTTGGTGACAGGGATTTATAGTTATCTCATACCCCCTTTGTAGATTTCTCATCCTTATGGAACAGCTGAAGCCAGTTGCCAGTTTTATTGTTAGTTCTGTCCGTTGCACTGTAGAGGTCGTGTTTTGTTTACAAATTGTTTCTTGTTATTTTAGTAATTTAAAACCTTGTTTAACCAAATGAAATGATCTAATAATAAACAATAACTCGTTTCCTAGTTATAAAACCAAACAATAATCCCCAGATCATGAAATTAACCCTAAAATAATTTAAATAACATTTCGTCGACACTAGTAGTCAGTGTCACCGGACATGAACTAGACACGAATAACGAGCCTCCAAATTTACAATGGGACAAGAAGTCTACTTGTGTTGGTTTGGCCGTTTGGCTATGGTAGGACTGTGAACTTGTGCTTACTGAAGTAGACATCACATTTATATACTGTGGACCAGAAGTATCCAATTTTTGTCCAAATAGAACTAGAACGTAGTTTTAATGAACCACTTATAGAGTTATATTTGATTGTATTCTTTGCTTTTTGGTACTAATTAGACATTAAAGATGATATAGCTTACGATAAGCAGTTCTTTCTAGGATTTGACGTCACCTTAATGGTCTGGAATCAGTAGTAATTAATTCAGCACACTCTGTCGGTGGTGACTCGATTCAACTACCATAGACAAAAAAAATCTATCTATTGCTTTACTTGTCTGTGCACTGTGTAGTTACGTTCATTAATTCTGCTTTACATGATAGTGAATCACTTAATGAATTCTTCTATAAATAATGAAAAGCGAATGTGGGGCTTAGCTGTGGACTAATACTGGATTTATTGAGTTGAAGTGTTACAAAAGGTAGCCGGTTCAATCCTGAGAAAAGTCAGTAGCTTTTTAAAAGTTCGAAACTTGACCCAGCTGATCCTGATCATTGGGGATATACATAATCCTGGCTAATGAAACAGCTGATTTTAGTCTGTAACAAAGCTACACGGATCATCTCACACCATTCTACACTCATCCTTCACTCATATTTGGGTTCAAATACGAACCCAATTACCATCTCAATGATTGGTAAAAATTGATAGTTAAAGACTATGATTACCCTGTACGTGTTCATAGTTGTTACATACATAAAATAGGCCTGCTAACGTTTATATGTCGGCTCATACATCTCGGCCCCACGGTCAAATGTTGCCCAGTTCACTCATGTGCAGTGTAGACATTTGCAATGTCAAAATTTGAAACACCAAATTAGACACTTGCTGCCCACACTGCTCGGAGGCGCTCCTACGATCACTTAAACTGTTTTCCAGACTATTCCAGTTTTGCGCAATGACTTGTCAACATCATCACTGACAGTAAGAAAGTACAGTTCTCATCTGATTGTACAACCTGAAGCTGTTTTGAAATGTTTCTCGTTCAATTTCATGTTTGAGTGCAATGATGCCGGCTCAATGTTAATCCCTCAACCTTCGCTGTAAATTTATTTTTGTGGGTGATTTAACTGTTCATTAGTATTACAAAAGGACAATAAGTAGTTTACATGGATATTGTTATATTTGTCCTAAGTAATTGAAACAAAAATTATGAAAGTTAGTTAAATAACAAATAATAAATACCCCCGCTGCAGCAAACCTGCAAACTATGATAATTTCCATTTGACTTATTTAATTTTCAATTGAATCTATTTCAATAAAATTAGGTTTAACGAGTACCTAGGTTTGCTGCTACAGGGAGGTTTATGAAGTGTGTTTTCTAGTAAAATATTAATAACTTAGTATAAAATATAAATTTCCAAGTTTGATCGAAACATATCCATAAACAAACAAAATACAACGTTTAGTTATTTTCCATAAGAATAACACGGGAATTTTATATTTACAATTTCTTAAATTTTCCCGTAACCAATAATCGTACAAAAACACTATACTCAAAATCTTTTGTTCTTTAAGCTCTTCAAAATGGTTTCGAGATAAATTTGGGAATTCTCTGTTTTGAGGGTCAAAAATTAGAAAAGCCAATTTTTACCTCATAAATTCCACCATAAAACCTAATTTCCTACGGATCACGGTGGTTCCCTTAACTCGCTCGAATAAACGTAGGTTTACACGTTTATACCAAATTGCATAAAAATCGGATCATTTTTGCTCGAGTT